AATTTTTAGGTCTCTTTTAATGTCATTCTGCCATAGTTTCTTGGTGACATACAATAGAATTCTTTCTTTACCCGAAACGTATTTGTCTATCATAATTATTTCAAACAGTTGAGAAATACTAAGAAAACATGAAAAGTAATATTTAGCAAAATATTTCAAGTAACTAATTCACCAGTACAAAATTTTCAAATATTGACTTGTAAAATTATAATGCATGTTTCCAGAAATTAAAGCCATTTGTTTACTTTGTGGGAAAACAAAATTAACAATATCACATGTGGAGATATCTTCAAGAGTCAATTGTGAGTAGAAAAAGTTTTACACACCCCACAATACTCATTCTTTAAAACGGTTACCTTATTTAATTGTATAATTAGTGTGGATTTTTTAAATTATTTTAAATTTTTTTATTATTTACCTGCTAAATTAAAATATATCTAGAGGAAAATAAATTTAAATTTAAATAAGAAAGAAAAATGTTATTTATTTACAAGATGAGCTTGATGTAAAATGAGAGCATAGGGTTCACATACTCTACTGTAGAGATCAAAGCCTATGTAATTTGAGATTATAATTTTGTTTGTTAGTATTTTATTATTTTTGGAGAGAAATTAATTAAAAATAACCTACTATTTTACAAATAAAATGATTTTATGAAATTTGGATATGTATGTTTCAACGTGCAAAAAGTAATTTAATCTTAATTATATTCTCAATTTTTGAAATTTTGAAATAGAAAAAGAAAAAGAAAAATATATTTTATTATAAAAATACATTAAAATCTCTTTTTTTTAGGCATTTTTTGCAAACTTAACTATTATACTTACAAAATCTTATTGACTTACATGATAATATAATTATTATGTTTGTGGAGATTTAAAAATCTCAATGACAAAAGAATCAAATAATATTTTTTTATATTATTACTTTTTGTAGACATATTTTTTTATGATATTGATATGCCTGTAGAAACTTATTGTTTCACACAACAATTTGTTAATTAGATCAACCAGTGGAGATATTTGGATTCAAACGATATAATCTTTTAACTTTTTTTGTATTTCTTTCATAAAAGAATTTAAATCATTTTACGTATGAAACTTTATTAACTCACATAATAATATGATTATTCAAAATGTCTATAATGCTCAAAAATCTCACTGAACAAAAGGATGTCTACTTATCTAAACGTGTCCATATAATATATATATATATATATATATATTTGTAATTTATTTTATTTATTTACTATTATTATTTTTAAAAATTTTATTATATTATTATTTATAAAATCCATCTATTTATTTATTACATATAAATTAATAATCATAACATTTACGAGAACTTATTATCTTACATGATAATGTAATTAATTTAAGTTTTTTTATGATATTGATATGCCTGTAGAAACTTATTGTTTCACACAACAATTTGATTAATTAGATCAACCAGTGGAGATATTTGGACTCACACGATATAATCTTTTAACTTTTTATGTATTTCTTTCATAAAGAATCTAAATCATTTTACGTATGAAACTTTATTAACTCACACGATAATATGATTATTCAAAATATCTATAACGCTAAAAAATCTCACCGAACAAAAGGATCTACTTATCTAAACGTGTCCATATAATATATATATATATATATATATTGTAATTTATTTACTATTATTATTTTAAAAATTTTTATTATATTATTATTTATAAAATCCATCTATTTATTTATTACATATAAATTAATAATCATGACATCTACGAGAACTTATTATCTTATGTGATAATATAATTAATTTAAGTTTTATGAAGATTTTTAAAATCACGAGACTTAGACATTTTATTGATTTAAATTATTAAAAAAGAGAGTTAATTTAAATATACAAGATTGATCATCATTGTTACAAAATCTTATTAAATGCCTACAAAATCTCACATGGCTAATAGGTAATGATTGGATGTATCATTGATAGTAATAGGAAAAATATAGCTTTTGATTCATGTACTTTCCTCGCATTTCGTTTTTGATCCTTATACTTTTTTTTGGTGTTTAGGTTCTCATACTTTTATTTTTCATTATTTTTGGTTCCTTCAAGGTCCCCTATACTTTGTTCATATAGGGACTGAAAATAATAAAAAATAAAAGTATAAAAATCTAAAACACTAAAAAAAAGTATAGAGATGAAAAGTAAAACATGAATAAAATACAGTGACCAAAGGCTATGTTTTCCTTAATTATCATTATCATCATTATTATTATTTTCAAGCGCGTTTGAAAAAGTTGAGGACGATTTAGAAGAATCTCAATGTATACTCACTAATTGGGTAAACAGGTTATGGGCCAACCTGTGTGAATTGGTATTTTTACATGTTGGGTTGGGCCAAATCGCTAGATAAAATGAGCTGAAAAATCTAACCCAACTCATTTTCTAGCAGGCTAGCTAACCTATAGGCTGATCCTAAAAATTTATCAAAATTTTTTTAACAATTTAAAATTTATATAATATAAATATATATATTTGTTTCACATTTTAAAGAAAATTCATTTTATTAGATTTTACTATTAATTATCTTCTCACCTAGGTATGTTATCTTTTTTACTGAGAAAGAAAATTTGAATATAAACTCATATTATTTTCTCAATGAATTTATATTTATGATTTCAATCAATAGATCTTATGAGATTAATAAATAATATATATTCAAAATATTTGTATAAAAACTAATAAATCATCAATTTACAAACTGTAACAAAAAATTTATTTACAAATTGCAAAAAAAATTTACACTATATTTCAAATGTAAAGAACATATTTGAGAGTCATAAATTATATATTTAAAAAATATTTTTATTATCATAGATTTATAAAAAAATGTAATGTGATTAAAAATAAAAAATTACTTTTAAAAAATATGCTAGCACATAGACTAGCCCGTTTTAGCCCATTAGTTTTGCGGGTTGGGCTAGTCCAGTTCATTTTAAACATTTAACTTAACCTATCAAATTTTGTAGGTTAAACCGGCTAGCCTACTGGCTCAATTTGTTTTCCCGACTCTAGGTCAAGATCCAAGTTTGTAGCAACTTTTTTAAAAAAATGAGGGAGTTTTGAATTTTAAAAGAGAAAAGAAGTAGGATTATTTTGTGTAGCTCACGCAACCCAATGCTCAGCCCTCAATCTTTTTCAAGCTGTGGCTTGATGAACAATTAAAACAGCTCTGTAAACAATATACTGAGAGAGGAGCCACCTTGAGCTATTTTCTTTGATATGGCTTGAGGTATTTTGTCATGTAAAATATATTGATGATGATGACGAATATAATGAATGATGATTGATAATGACTTAACATTGACGCACTAATATTCTCTTTGGTGTGATAAAACATCATAATCCTAGTAAAAAAAACAAATATATTAAAGTTAGAAATCTGAAAAACAAAAAATATATAGAAGTTAATTGAGATATACGCTCACATATTAAATCATTTCTATTGCCAGCTGTAACATCACGATATTTATTTTTAGGATTTGAGTAATGTTATGATGAAATTATTTCACGATAATCGGATCATTTGAATAAAGAAAATTTACTCAAAATGATTTTGAGGATTCAATTGTAACTTATACTTTTTTTGTTAAAAAATATAAAATATTTTTTAAAGAGTTAGATGTTAAAAAATGTAAGATATTTTTAATCTTTCGAATAATTATTACTTTTTTTTTAAAGTGCCTCTATTGATAATAACTTTATATTTATTGTAGAATGTTTAATAGAATAAATATAAAAAAATAGGGTTAGCTGAAAAGTAGGTAACTACTTTATTGAGAGATGAGATTCGGTTAAAAATGCATTATATTTTTAAACGGAGGGAGTAGTTTTTAGAAAAGAAAGAAAATAAATAACGTTAGGTGAATTTCATTGTCAATAAAATTATTTTTAACAATAGAATAAAGATAAAAATAAAGTGATCGCTATATGTAGAGAATAAATAAGTCAATCATATTCATGAGAGGATAAATAATTTAGTTCATACAATTAGAAGTCATCATTCCTAAGATTTTGCAGTGGGTGTGTTGATTCTTATATTTGAAGTATATGGTATTGAGTTTTATTATATTTATTATAAGAAATTAGATAATTTAATTAACTTTTCTTCTTATTTTTTTATTCTATTCTTTTTCAATAAACAAATGGCAAATTTTTTTTTCTTTTCTTTTTTGTTCTTATTTGAAATTTTAGCGACAAAAGTTCAAATCATCACTAAAAAAATATCTTTACGATTTACAGCACATACTTGCAGTTTCCGCATAGGCTGGTCTGATCTCCTTCGATCCCAACAATAAATGAAAAAAGAAAAGAAACTAACGAAGACTTGAGGTTGACTTGACTCCTATTTATACAATGCATAGCATCAGGCGTGAAGCACTTCATCCACAAGTTTTACAGGTTGAGTCGTTATAGATTTCTCCTGTTTATCTGCTCCTCTCTTTCATTTCCTCAAGTTCAATAATCAAAACCATCATCATGTTAGTTTTTATGTCTCTTTCCTATTTGCATTTCTCTATCATGTAGTGTGTACTAAATAATTTCTGTATGTAAGAGCATGAGAGTGAGAGGCGTTGGAAACTCAAATGTGCGTAAGTTTCTCAGTAAACAAATCTGCTATATATTTCGCTTTCCCTATTCTCATAGCTTTTGATGAACTCACTATTATATATATTGTCTTCAAGATTTTGTGAGTTTATTAATTAGAGCAGGCATGGATAATTGGTGATTAACTGCCTCTGGTTCTATGATATGCATTTTTATCTAATTTCCTGAAATTCAATGAAAGCACCATTAGGTTGATTATATCTTTCTTTTACCATGTCTTTTTCATCCATATATTGTTATTGTCCTCCGTTTGTTAGGAGCACAAATTAAAAGACGACATTTTCCATCAATAAAAGCACCGTTTTATATATTATATTATTTGTGCCAAGCTCTTGCAGATTAAAAGAATGGCGACAGAAGAAGTTACTGCAGTATTAGTGGACACAGAAGATGATCAACAAATATCCTCGTTAAAATCTTCGGAAGCCACGTCAGTAATAATAATGGACCCTTGTATCTATAGAGTGCCACCGTTACTTCGCAAAATGAATGAAGAAGCCTGCACTCCTTCCCTGGTTTCCATTGGTCCCTTTCACCATCAAAACCAAACACTGAAGCCGATGCAAGATCTCAAGTTTTCTTACTACAACAAATTCCTGGAGAGGACTCCTCCACAGAATTCATTAGATGTTTATGCTGAAGCCGTGACAGAATGGGAAGATAAGATTCGACATTGTTATTACTGGTCAATACCAATGGCGAGTTTTGAATTTGTTAGCATGATTCTAACTGATGGTTGTTTCATTATTGAGTTGTTTGTTTCAGTCTTTCTATCAGCTACAGGGGAATCAAATGAAGACACTAATTTGCTGATGGAACGATGGCCAAGATCTGACATAATGCGAGACTTGATTTTACTTGAAAATCAGATACCATTCTTTGTTCTTCAAGGCCTATTCAACCTGGCTTTTCCCAGCCGCTTAAATGGAAACTCATTTCTTGAGCTTGCCTACAAAAATTTCCAGTATACTTTCCTGACATGTATATATCCTCCAAACAGCAAAATGTTTGAGAAGTTCAGCCATAACTATTTTAATGATCATCACTTGACACTACCTAATGGTGATAGGTTGCAAGTGGAACACCTCTGTGATATGTTAAGGGCCTTTTAAGTGCCAAGTAATCCTCCAGAGATGGTAAATGACCCAAATCATAGAGTGAAGTGTTCATGTACTGTAAGTCAACTACATGAGGCAGGACTCAAATTTGAAGTTCATCAAGGCAAAGGCATATTTGAGCTGGAATGTTCTAAGGGAGTCTTCAAAATACCAGTCATTGCTATTAATGGGTTGACAGAGATTATGCTCAGAAATTTGGTTGCATTTGACCAGTGTCATCACTCTTTTATGAAGTGTTATGTTACTAACCACACAACACTCTTGTATAATCTTATCAAAACTGGAAAGGATGTCGAAATTCTTGCTGAAAAGGGAATCATGGGCAACATTTTGGGGGAAAATAAGGATGTGGTGGCTACCATGATCATCGAACTTGCCCAAAATACTTTGACAGGAGCCAATAATGCTAATTATCGTGATGTATATGTAGAGCTGGGTGAATTTTATAATAACCGTTACCACAAGTACAAGGCAACCTTCGTGCACGATTACTGGAGCACTCCTTGGGAAATAATATCTTTGTTTGGTGGAATTCTGCTACTTTCACTCATTTTGATCCAGACAGTATGTTCTATCATCACCTTATTTAAGAAGTAGCTCAAAATAACTGCTCTTATGTATACCTTTCAATCTTCGTTACTGCTTTCTTTGATAATTAGCTCCATATATTTGATGGATCATTAATGGAAGCATGTATGCCACCTTTAATTTCTTAAGTAATTTCTTTCTCCTTTGTTTATAGCATCAATTTTGATCGATGGATCACTTGTGTTGTGGACTATTAGATTAAGGAATTAATTATCTGCGCGGCTAATCTTTTTCACATGATTGAATTCCTCTTCAGCTAAATTTCAAAAGCAATTTAAGTGAGCTAGTAAGATCAAGTTGAAGTGAAAAGAGAAATCGTTCTCATAGTTTTATATGATTAAAAGATTTATAATTCCTCAGAAATAGAAGCAAAAGGAAAGCTGCCATCTGGATGAGGGACAAATAACCTAGCAAACAAACAGAAAAAATCGCAGCCAAGGACTTAAATTAGATGGCAGAGGATGCTAACAGAGGCAACGTGGAGAAGAAGTAGTTGGGGGGGGGGGGGGAAGGAATGGAAAACAGGGGAGGCAAAATTTGAACCAGCCCTACTTGAAGTATGGAATCGAAACCTCTCCTGGTTCTTCTCTGCTGTTGGCTATCCTAACGAAAATCATCACCATTCATTCTTTTCAATTAATCTATTGGCTATTGCCCCAATCTGTTTTATTTTTTCGGGCCAAAATTGCTCCAATATGTTGCTTCCTTTCACAGCAACCGATCTCGAAAAGGTCAGGGATTCGACACATGATTTTCACTCTAATGAAATATTAATTATTTTTAAAAAAACAATTATAATTTTAAATATTTAATTTAAAATTATGTCCATGAACTTTAACTCAATTAATTACTAAGTTTTGAATGAGTTTGGCATCAAGTGATTAATATTCTCTTATTTTTAAAATAATCTTATATGTTTTTATTATTCATAGGCATTTTCATATTGGACTCAATTTTATTTGAGACACAATCAAATATAAAATGCAACTTCATCTCTTAATAAGAATTTAAACTTTAATTCATCAAGTTGTTAGAAATAATAAAAAATTATTCTTAAATTTCCAAGTACTGTATAGATAAAAAATATAATAATATTATTTTTTATTTTTTAAAAAATATCTACAATATTGTATTCAAATGTGTGGTCTATCTATATAAAATGAACTAAAACTTAAATGATTAATGAATATTTAATATATTATATATACTTTCTAGAAAAAATAAAGTGTTATCTGAGTATTTAGACCAAATTCAAACTCAATTGATCTTGGCCATAAATATTTTCAGTCTACTTGGGCTTGTTTGAATTTTTTTGCTCATACCTAAAATTTTCAGGCCAATTGACCTTGGGCTGAAATTTTAGCAATGCAATGAAATTTTTTTGCTTAAATTAGACTTTTCTATATTTAGTTTACTTCTATGGGATGAAATTTATTTTTTCAATTTTAACCCCATTCAAAATAGAAAGGGAAAGATACACAGTATATGATGAATCATAGAAATAAACTTATATTTATAATAGAGATAAAACTAAAAAATGATAATAAATAACCCTTCATGTATCTTAATATAAAGACCAAAAAAATCTTTTTAACAAGTGTCTTACAATAACAACATGAAGAGTATTATTGTTTAATTTATTATGAGGTGTAAATTATTTAAGCAAAAATTTTGTCTCTGCTCCTTTTTTTTTTTTTTTCCAACTCTGTATCTGTGAAAGAAAGCAACAGCCATTGGATTAAATGAAAAAGAGTGAATGGCCATGATTTTTATTATGATAGTCACCAGCAAGGGGGACCAAGAGAAGTTCCAACCCCCCTTGAATTATGGCTCGAAAAATTTAGATAAAATAGTAATTAAGGATATTTATATAAAATTTATATCAATTAAATATCTTGCTAAAATTTAAATGAAAAATAAGTCCAAATGAACTATTATTAATTTAAAATGAGTTATTATTAAAACTGAAATATGTATTTGTTGATAAAAGATTAATCCAAATTGACAAGTATTCATTTAAATTTAACAATAACTAATTTTTGAGATATAAATTTTATGTAAAGGTTCTTGATTTTTATTTTTTTCAAAATTCCTACTGTCCTCGTTCACAAATATGTTGCGGAAGGGAAACAATGTTAGGAGGCAAAATAATTGGAAGCAGCCCAACATAACTTGCATAAATGAGCAAAATGAAGGGCAATTTCGGTAATTCACTGTGCAAGTCTTGTGCTAAGTTACTGACAGAGGAAAGAAGCCGGAGGGCGCTTTGGGGTAGGAAATCCTATTGTTCATGTACTGTTCAAGTGGGGTTTTTTTTTTGGGGGGGGGGGGTGGAGGAACGTTCAGGTGGTTATCTAAATTGATGGAGATAATTTGATCATTGATGATTTTCTTTTTTCACTCAAAAAAAAAAAAAAAAAGATATGGCTATCAAGAAGTTGAGTTGCAAAATGAAGCTGTTGCAAATTCGTGATTCCAACAGTTTGAAGCCCTTATTGCTCCCTTCCTTTGTATTTATGCTTTGTCGTTTTTCTTTGGTGCAGTTCTTCGCAAGGCCCTTTATATAATCATATAAATTATCCTTCCGGTGATGCATAAAAATATTAATCCCCTCAATTTAAAATGAATGGAGGGGAGGAGAGAAGAATAATTACTTTAATACATTCATTTTTTAAACAAGGACACATGAAAATAATTATATATATATGTGTGTGTGTGTGTTTATTATTTAAATCTTGTGACCAAGAGATATGAAAGCTCTGATAAATGAAAAATGGTAAGTTTGATGTGGCTTGTAATCTCATGCCATAAATTCATTTCCCCTAAATCAAAATAAAAAGTTGATATCTAATTCTAAACAACATATATTTCAAAAAAAAAAAATGTTAACATACTATAATAATATTTAAAAATTAAAAAATCAAAAATACAAATTAAATTTAAATTTTCAAAAATTATAGGTTGTTGTCATGAGTCAAATTACAAATAAGATGAAGTTGTATATTGAGCCATCTTTTTTTATGGTTGTTATCTGTGTCCCTTTGATTTTCCTGTGATCTGTGTGCATGTTGATCCAAGGAATTGTAGTTAGCTTCCTTGGGTTTTATGTATAATCATTTTATTTTAAGAGTTAAAGAGTAAAAATATTTATAAACCTTTTCTACAAGGACACCTATATTATTGAGTGAAGAAGGATATAAAAGTCCCACTAACCTTTATGAAATGAGTGTAAAAAGTGTCCAAACCATTATCTTTGACAAATGTCTCTTAATGTTGACTTTTTTTAAAAAAGAAACAAACATAAAGTATAAAAATATTCATAAACTTTATAGTTAGGTGCAAAGATGCCTGAATTATAAATATTTTTTATTTTTTATTTTCTTTTTTAGTCAATTTTTATTTTATCTAATTTTAATTTTATTTTATTAATAATAAATAGAATTCAGGTATTCAAGACTAAACCCATTCGGTTTTAGAATTGGCTGGGATTTATTAGGACTTATTTAACCAGTCTGAATGTGTCACGTCTCAAAAATTACACATGACTGTCATAGGATATATGCACAAACATGCGTCCCTTAAATCATGGTTACGGACACTTTAATTTAATATTTAATATTTTTTTAAAACATAATTAGATTTATATTGAAATTTTCAAAGCCTTTAATAATGTTTGCCTTTAATAATGCTCACCTATAATAAAAGTTTCAATATTTTTGTAAAAATTTCAGCAAAACTTTCCCCATAAATAGAACCTTCCAAATTTTTTATAATACAATGTTTCAATCAAAATATCAAATTAATCAAGAGCAAAGCTTCTTTCAATCAGCAGAAAAAATATATAACAAAATAAAGGATCTAACTATAGACTATGTGGATCACCTAAAAATAAGTAAACAAAATAAAATTTAATAATTAAAAATTTACATAAAAAAAGCTTAATCATTAGCTCTTTCACTTTTAGTCAATAATAGACTCTTCAATGTTTAGTAGGTAGTTCAACGTCAATTATACTATTTGAAACTAAAATTATTTCTAGTGAATAACGTTCCAATAATAAAGTCAAAAGGAAATAGATGAATATTTTTAGATAATTATAAGCAAATTAAAAAAGAGCCACTAAAGTGGAGAATTTAAATCTCATGACAACTTCACAAATGCTGAACCATTAAACTTTTAAATAAATAAATAATTTATCACCTGGCTTTAAGAAATCAAGTAAATTAAATAGGAATAGAAGTATTTACTAATTAAAAATAATGAAGTTTATTTTTCACAAGTCCAATAAAATTAATTTTGTTTAGGAGGACTTTATAGAACAGATAACAGACATGGACACACAATCCATTGAGTAATTAACTAAACATGACTGAAGCCACGAAATAGACGCGGACACACAGTCCATGAGGTTAACTAACCAGATGTGGTTGAAGTCATGAAACAGATATGGATACAAAATCCATGAGAGTAACTAACCAAATGTGGTTGAAACCACGAAACAAACGTAGGTACAAAACTCATGAATAACAGAAGTGAAAACAAAGCTCACAAAAATCAAATTAGCTAGTCATTAATCAAGGCGTATCAAGGGCTAATAAAACTATTATTAGCAACAATGTTTTGCTTAAAGTCCTTTGAAAATCCCTTTTCAGACATACAGGAAGAATAGTCACAGCCGAAATAAAATTTCATTCTCAATACAAGACTCGCATGAATTATCTTAAAATAATCATTCTTTTAAATATGAAATTTCATAACTAATATATCATAAACTCTTTCACCAATTACTATGATTTTCTTTATCAAATAAGAAATGAATAGAACTTGTAAAAATATTTTCATCAATTTTGTAAGCTTATAACATGACTTCAAGAGATAGAATTATTTAATCTACAACAATAATCAATGCTAAAGAGAGGGATATATATATATATATATATATTCATATATATAAATTGTAAATTGTTGAAAATAATATTTTGATAAAAATAAAATTTGCTAATAAATTA